GTCTGTAGTAGACCCCCACCACTGTATGGCCTAATGGCATCTCAGTGAAGAGCTCAGACTTGAAGCTTCTGTGGTAATACAAAAACCCCACAACTGCATCAACAGGAAAGAAAATACTCTCTGCTTGGACATTAGACTGCAGTGTGCTAAAGGCTGCAAACTGGTCCTTTGAAATAGATTCAAGGAGTCATGCTTCTTAATGTAGTAATTTATTTGGACTTTCAGGTAGCTTAGAAAAGAGACCTGGTATTTTTCCTGAGGTTGGTTCTATTGCTGTGGGCAAGAACACTTAGGCACGTAGAAGGATTTGTGGAAGGTGGATCACAGAGGATAACTCTGTAGAAAGAAGATGTACTGCAGTGTTACTAAATCTAGTAAAAATGCAGGGTTCAGTCTGTATAAAGCCATAAAGGATAGTCTTACCCTTCCCTTCTTTTCCTTTCTCCTCCATCCTGAAGTTAAGATCCTTCTAATTACAGTGATCTGAAGAGTGGAAGGATGCAAAGCAACTTGCTAGCTATACGTGTGATCCAGATGTGCTCTGACTTACTAGGAGACCAGTAGTTCTTTTGGTCTAGGAATAGGTGTGGTCTTCTAGCCAGGTTATCGGGACTTCCTTTTCAGCCTACAGGAGAGACTTCCACCTCCATGTGGTTTTGTGGGCATTTGGAATTTCTTTTGTTGCCTTCAGTTGTTATTTTTTTTGAGCAGGGAAGGGGGTTTGTGCAAGGGTTCCAGAAGATGATGCAACATGGTGCGTTCAACTCATCGTTTCAGAAACAGGAGTTAGAGAAAAATGATGTGACTGGGGAACTGGTGACATGGGTACTAACCTATCTAAACTTGCCTGCCAAGGTCTTTTAGTAGAGTGTTTAGGACATGAATTAATTTGGAGTCTGATTTAAGTATCATTTGGTAATCTAAGCTGCTGTGTAGAATTGGCATAGTATAAAAGCAAGAGACTACTCCTGTTAGAGAACTAAGTAGTCTTTCACATTAGTTTCTACAGCATATTTAGAGAGCCATGTCTGATGTTTCCACCTACTGTGTACACAGTTGTGTTTTTCTGTTGAACTTGATGGTCTGAAAGACACCTTTGTCTTTGGCTGTTGTCCCTGCACAGACACTTCATTAGCAGCTGCAGACTGGAAAGGTACTTAGTGTAAATTGATTCAAATATATTTAAAAACTCAATATTTTAAATTAGGAATGAATAAGTGAAGGATTACATAAAGCAGCTGTAATTGTTGTTTCATGCTCCTGGATTTTCTTCTTGCAGTGGGGTGCATGGTGATTCTTGCTGGATCTAATATGTCTGTATGTACCTGCCATTGCTGCTTTGTCATGAAAGTCTGTATTACAGTGACCAAATCTCTTCCTTCTATTTTTTTTTCTTTTTCTTTTTTTTTTAATGGTCTTAAAATTATGTCCATTTTCAAAAGTAAGACTGGCCCACTCAGGTAATGTTCTGCTCAGGTCACTGTGTTTTAAGTTGCTGAGCTCTAAGATAATAATGAGTTCCTGAAGCTCAGGTTTTGAACACTCAGCAAGGACAAGTTATGGTAGACACAGCAGTATTACATACTTCTGAAAAACAAGGTTTCTTGTTGAATGTAGACATTGGTGAAAAGTTGCCCCACACTTGTTTTAAATTGTTTGTAAAGATTGCTTTTGAATGATCTCCAGCTGCGATGGGAGAGATCTGGTACTCTAAAAGAGGAGTCATCGCTATTGTGTTTTAAAAGCATCTGTTGGGATGTGATTTTAATGTGCCTCATGAATTGAGAAAGGGGAACATGGTAGCCGAGTAAATGTGTCTCCATTGGCATTTTTTTGTACTAAGTGGAAATGTTCTCAGTTGGGCAGAAGTCAGCAGAATTCCTTGAGTGCAGATGGGGAAATGTTTTTCTTTTTTCCTATTAAGTAGAAAGTCCATAGTTTGTATAGTACATATGCTTTATTAAGTACATAGACATTTTTTTCTTCCTTCTAATTAGCTGGATGTGGAGAATCTGTTTGTTACACAACTCTCTTCAAAACTGGTGTTTTCTGTTATTGTGTGTGTTTGAAGACCAGAATGTCATGAAGAAAGTTCAGCTTTTGACTACTTTCCCTTTAGGTTTGTAAGCAAAATACTTGTAATACCCAACTATCCTGATCTGCTGTTGTCAGCTTCTGGGGTATGTATTGCACTTTTTCAAAAGAAAAACTTTTTTTTTAAGATTTAGATTTTAAAACCATTATTTGCTTGTCTACCCCCCAAGTTCCTGGAATAATCTCTCACGGTTTACAGCATGCCTGCTCTCTCCCTCCTTCCCTCCTCCTTTCTCAGTTTTCTGTTCAGTGTTCAGACATTCTACTGCTAGATCAAATAAGAGCCATTTACTGTCTTTACAGCAAGGCTAGCATCTTACTACAGTCTAGGGATGGAGAAATCACAAAGTCCTCAGTATTTCTTCATCATTAACTCTTGCTTTGGAGCACAGACAAAATTTAATCATGGCACTATTAAACAACTTCGAAGCAAATGGGTATCATGCCAGCCTGCCATGATAATGAGTGTCTTGAGAATGAGTGGCCTTACAATCACAGATTTTTTTAGAGCTTTTAAGACAGGAAAATTGTTCTGCACCCTCCCTCTTGTTTACTCCTGTTAGGATTGTTCTGAATTATGTCCTTGTCTGCATGTCCTCATAGTATGTCCAGTGCACGTGCAGTGGAGATCGCAGTGCAGTCTACACAGTGCTTGGATGAGGAGGGAAGAAGCGAGTGTTCCCTCCTTTCCCTCCTCCCAGCTCTTTTCTTAAATTGGTGGCATCCTGATGTCATGCCAGACCTGTGCAGAGTGAGTAGGTGGAGTTGGTCTGGAAGAAGGGAAACAATAATCTTTGTTTCCCAGACTACCAAAACTCATAGGAAACAATGTTTTCTGTGAAGATGTGAGGATTGTAATAATTCTTGGCATTTATTTTCAGCTGCTACTTTTGCTTCCCTAAGGCTCTTGTCTGTTGTTCCTCTAGTTCTTTAAGCAACTCTAGTGTTAGTGCTGTGTATGCCTGTGTTTCATTCTTAGCAAATGCTCTTTGATGACTTTTTTTAGAGAGGTGTTTAGCTTCTCTCCAGGAGGTTACTAAATCAAATGAGAATTTGGGTGATAATGAGTAGGGGTGGAGAAGGGCAACCTGAAAGAATTGCCATTAAAATGCTGAGCATGTGAATTCCTGTGCTGTTTGAGGCAGACTTGAAATACAGTCCTCCAGCTACCCAATTTCCACTTCAGAAGAGAATTAAATTTAGCATGATTGAATAATTTAGAATGGAGGGGGAAAAAATTATGTTAATTGAAACGTTTTATCTGCAATTTGAGGTCTTAACTAAGTGACTATTTAGCAGATTCTTTGGGAAGCTTTTCAGGGAAATAGGATTTAGCTTAAGGCTGTGAGTGGCCTCTCTTTGCCTGGGGTGCTGTTAGTAATAGACTTGTGTCTACTTCCATCTGTCCAGGACTCGACTCTGAGACTTTGGGAGTACAAAAGCGGGGAAGAAGTGTACTGCTGTCATCTAAGTAGTATCTGTGGGCTCGAGACAACCAAAACCGACCAGGTACATCCATGTGTATTAGTGTTTTTTTGTCTTCCTGATCCTTGTGACTCCTGGATGTTTCTTGCGTATTTTTAGGAGTGCCTCCCTTCTGTCAGTGGGTTTGGAAGTTATGTGAGACTCAGAAACTGTTACAATAGCTTGGGATTTCAGGAAAGGAAGAAAGGCCCTGAAAATACACTCACTCCTGTGTCTTGTGTGCATTTCTGAAAAGTGCCAAGCAGTGACTGAAAGAAGCTGTTTGTAATTCTTCCTAAATACAATTTCTGCATACTGGACAAAGCCTTCCTTTAAAAATTTTTCCAAAAAATAACAAGCGTCTTAGTCACTTAGCCAGAAAACTTCTTGTACAGTTGGAAAGTTCTAATTCATATGTTAAAGTTGTGACTTACCTGAGCAAAAAGAAGCTTTGTAAACATTTGTTACCAGTCACCTGCAATAGTGCTCCCCTGCAGATCCAAAACAGTGGGCTTGTTCCTTGAGGTTGTTCTGAAGCTGTGCAGCATCCAAAATTAAAATGTATGAGTCCTGTGTGAAAACTGAATACCCTAAGAGCTCTCCTGACGTCACAGCTTGTAGTGAGTGGAGTCCTGTGTATGCATTTCAGGTGCTACTGTGATTTGGGGTGCTATCTGATGTGAGCAGTGCTTCTGGTAGTACTTGATACCTGGTTTTGTTCTTGTCATGTGAATTGGCATACGGCCTGTTATGCATCTCACTAAGCCAGATGCTAATCTGTTGGCTCATTTAAAAGTTACTCATTTTACCACCCATCCTGCTGGGTGTGTTTTTCATGTGAATCTCTAAAAACTTTTCTTTCTCTGAAGAGCACAGCAGTCTCTCAGTTGTTAGGTGTCTGGGAAGCCTGTAGCCATGCATGGCTCTTGAGGGAAATCCACTGTGGAATTTGTATCCAGGCTCAAACTGAATTGAAAAGTTTTGTCTTTCCTCCTTTTGTGTTTTGTTGTGGTTTGGCTAGTTGGAGTGTGTTGTGGGTGGCCTCTTCCAGCAGTTGGGAACCATTCCTGAGGATCCCTCAGAGATTCTTTGCTGTCTCTGTAGCTCTGACCTGATCTTGTCAGTAGGATTTTTCAGTACTGAGCTGGGAGCACAACCCAGAGAAAAGTCTAGCTCAACAGCTCAAGACTTTTTGTGTGCAGAAGATATCAGCAAGTTATTCTTTGTGTTGGAGGAATAATGAGCAACTTTATGTCTGTGCTTAAGTCCAGGAAGGCAGCCACGTGCATGCAAAGTTTAGATACTGGAAATCTTGGATTTGGCCTAGAGTTCCTGTTAGCAGGAATTCAGGGGCGTATCTGTATGGACAATTTGACCTGCTCCTGAACCTGGAAGTATACTTTAAAGTGCACCTGAGCCAGAGACCTCTTGGTACAAATTCACAAGGTCTATGGCTCATTTCAGTTTGAGTCTAGTGATTGGAAATCTTTGAAGCAGCTATTGCTGGGTCTTTTCACAAGCTAAAAACGGGTGCACTGAATTAGGTGACAAGCCCATCTTGTCACTGGGATCTTCCTATAGTCTGCGTGCAGCAGGATTTGAGTGAGGAGGGGAAAATAAAGAGTGAAGCAGACCTACAAAATTACTTTACCACATATCACCCTCTGGAAGTAAGTGTGTTGGCATGTTCCATAGCCAAAGTGTTTTATCTCCGTATTCAAAGGTAGCTAATGAGAGTGCTTTGTTGAAACAACATGGTTTGATAGCCATCAAATCCATGTCTGCAGTAATGTTGCAAGGTGTTTCTTTTGGAGAGCAGGATGATTTTATTGTAAAATACTTTGCCTTCTAGCTTTATTGGATCATTGAGGACTAGTAAGCAACTGGCTGTGAAGTGGGGAATCCTATTATTAATTTTAAAAATACTACTTGTTGCTTAGAGTGGCTTACCGTGCAGTAAGATAGCTTACATGGAACTAGCGCTTGATCTTACACTGAATCCCAACTCAGCTGCTTACAAACAGGTTTATAAAAAAAACCCCACTATATTATTAGTCTTGAACATAGCATTGGATAAACTAACAAATGTTACAGGAAAAAAACTTGTTACTGCAAGCAGGAACTGATTTTAGGAAGTCTCTGGCTCTCTTAGAATGTTTTTGGAGGCTTTTGAATGTAGTTTAGTAATACTTGCCTTGTCTCCAAACACACCTGAAGAAGTCCCTTCCATAAGGTACTCTTTATGCTGATGGAGTCTCAGTAGAAATTCAGGGTGCCCTTTGTTTGAGGAGTGTCTGTTTAGCTTCTTTACCTCAGTGTGAGTAAGGAATGACAGAAAGGGAAAACCCACAACCTGGATTAATGAATATAACACAGCAGTTAATAAACTGTATTCCTTCAGCGTTTTGCAGTTTTTACATCCACTGCCATATGTGTCTTGAAAGTTTCAGGCTGGCCTGTTCCTTGAATCTGTGAAATTCTCCTTTACTGCCCACTCTTACAGGTGTTTTAAAGTCTCTCTCACATGATGCTAAGTTTGTGTAACATTTGAGGTGTCCAGAAGCCTCAGTTGATTTCCAGAGTTCATATATATTTGGAACAGTGATCAGGCAGTGTCCCAGTGATTACAGACAGATAAACAAGAAATTTAAACCTTAAATTAAACCTAAAATGTAGTGCCTTAAACCTTACTCATTGCCACCTGTGCCATATTGCTACATGGCTGTCAGTGTTCTTCCTTCAGAACAATTACTGTCTCAATGGTCAGCAGGACCAAAGGGGACTTGTGTTTTGCTGGTATCACAGTGCTAGAAATGCCGGAGGTGACATCTGGTGGTACTGTTCAGTCATAGTGTGCATCCAGGTGTATCACAGATCATCTTCACAACCCAGCGTGACATTTATAGTCTGAATTTAAGGGAGAAATATCTTGAGTGAGCAGTTTGTAGGTTGTAATGAGCATGCTGTCTGCAAACGGCTCTGTCAACCAAAGATCAGATGGGGATATAACTTTTTTTCTTCTCTCTTGCACTGCATTTTGTTCTAACTGTTGATAACCACTGTGAATGCACTGAAGCTTGAAAAACAACTTGAAGCACAGTAATAAAGGAATCATCAGTAATGGTGGGCATGTAAATCTGGATTTACTTGTGAGCATATGAATGTGGGCTTATTTTGCTTGGCAAATGATGAATGTGTGTCTGTTTGGGGAATGCAGGAGTGGTTTTGGGTGGTGTAGCACTGGTTTCAGCTGATGGGTTGCAGATTCTTAGTTTGTTTTCCCCCTAGAGTGAGAGTAATTCTCTAATTTCATAGTGCTATATAAATATTTTTCCTGCTTCGAAGCTTTCACCTTATCTGATCTTCTTGACAGCAGAAGCTTGTTCAAAGTCCAGAGCATGAATTGCACAACCCCTGCCCCACTGCTCCAGTACATTTTATTTTTTCAAAGGGTCACCTCTTTTCACAGATGACATCAAAAGTTTATTTTAAGGTGTTGGCAGGCTGATAACAGTGTCATAAGTGTTGAATAAGTTCAGAGGGTATCAAGTGAACCTGTGTCTATCACAGACTGCTCTTGTAGCTTTTCTTTAAGTTAATTAATTTCACAGGCTTGTCCTTCAACATCATACTATCCTGGAGCCTGTGTCCACTTTGCTGATTGTCAGCTTACCCATAAAAGGAAAGGAAAGAGCTTACAAAGAAGAGACATTTTCTTGTCTCTGTCCAGCTGTGAATAACACTTGGTTTGAATCAGAAAAGCCTCCCCCTCCCTCTCCCAGCCAGGGTGGGAGAGAGCTGCTGCATACTTGAAGTTCACAGAACCCTTTGTCTCTCTGACAAAGCACTCAGCTGTGTAGGTGGGCACTTGCCATGGCTGCACTTGCACACTTGTTGTGAGGCAGGCAGAGAGGCAGAGCTTTGTTATTAGAAATAAATACCACAGGTTTGGGGGGTTTAATATCTATTTTGGCTTGTTCCCTTAAATGTCTAAAGAACCCACTGGAGTTTTACAATAGGAGCTGTCGGTTCTGCTCTAAAGCTGTGGTGTAAGTGGCTCCATACTGCAATAACTGCATTTGGATGTACTAGCCACAGAGAACCTTTCTGATTCAGCCCACTCATCCTACCCACTGTTTGGAACCACAAGCATTTTTTACATCCATGTGAAACGGGAGTCCTGGGTCCCAGTGCTAAATGTGGACTAACAACTTAGCATTGCTGCAGAGCACCAAGAGATTAGTCCTATCTGTTCCCAAGAGCTTTGAAACATACCATCTTTTTTTGATAACGTTTTTTGTAGAGTGCTCCTCTTCTGTGCAAACAGGCAATGGAGTATGTGAGTGAGAAGTGTGTGCGTGCCCTTGTTCTTGCTTCCCCCAGCATGAAATTGTATCGCATGGCACACTGTTGAACCCCAGTTTTTGACTATGTTTATACCATTAGTTTCCCACAGCTGGTTTATCTTTCAGTAGTTGCATCATGTAGCGGTGACAAGATGGTTAGCTTCTGGTATTAAACTTGTTGACTTGAATGTTTGGAAGCTGTGCGGCTTGTTTTGCTTTCCTACATTGATTGCAAAACTGTGAAACGAACAGCCTGACCATGCCTATGCACTAGCAGGTAGCTCAAAGGTAAAATCCCATGGTTACACCAAAACTCAGCTT